ACCGTCAGTAGTTTCAAAGCGTTATATGACAAAGAGTGCTGGGAAGACGGGACACCACGAGCGTAGCTCTCATCCTGTAACTACACTTAGGTAATTACACTTAGGTAATTACAGTAGTTTGTTTTGAAATTCCTACCTTTCTGGGTGCCTGACCTGGTAGATGGCAGACAAAGACTGCTTCTAATGACACGGGGTGTCTTTAGGCCATTGCTCCCTGTGCCTCTCTTGAGGGGGGCCAGGTTCTGGCTCTGGTCCCCGGTGGGCTTAGAACTCCTTCGACTGACTGTTGCCACGGTCTAATATATACACATCAGCCCGGTATAGCTCTGGGGAGCCGAAGGGGCTCTCCACAGAAAATAAACATATCAATTCTGGGGCATCCAATTGGGCACAAAGCTGGAAATGCTGAAGACAGGTAAACCAATCCCACAGGTCAGCAGCTGCCAGTTAAGCTTATGCTTCACTTGGAGGGTCAGAGAGGAGCCACAAGGGGAAACAAACCCCACAAAACTCAGGGTCGTAGGTATCACCAATGCAACAGGCAGCATGGTGGAGGCAGAAAGAATGATCGTTGCCCCATGGTACAGATGATGCTCTCAAACTTGCACAAGGTAAGAGCAGGTTCAGAGGTAATATCCATAGACCACACCAAAACCTGCAGGGGATTACCATGTCCCAAAGAACTGATCAAACAGGACACCCAGGAATTATATAAGTAGACCAACAGACTAATTAACATAGCAGTGAAGGACGACCTCGGTATGCAGTGTAAAACCAGTGCATGAACTCCCAGTGCACCCTAACCAGAGAGTCTAGACAGAAGGACCAAACACCCATAACACAGGGAAGATAGCCATAGCACATGGAGCTCAAAGTGCCCGAAGAGCCAGGCCCATACATCACAAACCAGACAGAAAATGCACTTGTGAAATTAACTAAAATAAAGAACAATGTGAAGCAAATGGCCTCCATATGACAAGGCCCAAGGCCCAATTTTAATGCCCATCATCGATTGGCACTGGGCTCGAACAGAACAAATGAAGCCGGCATACACATTACACATCTACTGGACCAGCTTCCAGAAATACAAATCCTAAACAAGAATGAACCTACCCACATCCAAGGAGGCAGATTAGACCTAACCTTCGTTTCAGCCTCCCTAAGAGATGCAGCAACATGGTCAGTTGAGCCCACACTCACAAGCGACCACTATGGGGTCCAAATTGATCTTCAGTTAGACCTACCCACCCCACCTCCGCCTCCATCTGAAGCCTGGAACTTTGCTTTAGCAAACTGGGACCTATTTCAAAACCTCATTTCAGAGTGGCAAAGAAACTATGATCTTCCCAAAGACATTAATCAGGCAGAACAAGAATTTGTCAAAGCGATTCAAAGTGCAGCCAACCACTCAATCCCACTAAAAAAACAGTCCACCAGACACCATAAAGATCATTGGTACTATTGCGAACGTGTCAAAGAACTCAACCATAGACTCAATAGAACAAGAAAGCTATACAAAAACACCCCAAGGATCATCAACAGGAAGCCGAAGTACTGGCAACGAGGTTTGCAGAGAGAGCAGCCAGCAATCAACTTCCACCAGATGTATTAGCAGGACAGACCGGACTAGAGGAAGAAAGGTGACACAGAATCCTTACAGCATGTGAAGAAGTCTCTGACACTAATGCCCCCTTCACACTGGATGAGCTCAATCGGGCTAAGAAAAACTCCAAGGATACATCCCCTGGAGCCGACAAAATAACCTATAAAATGATTAGAAACCTCGGCCCAGAGGGAGACGCTGCATACCTAAGGTTAATTAATTTAGCCTGGACTTCTCAAACTAGACCTTCTGCTTGGAATAGAGCAGACATAGTGCCGATCCCAAAACCCAAAGATCCAGCTAATCCCAGGCCCATCTCTCTCCAAAGCTGTGCAGCCAAGACGGCTGACAGAATGGCACTCAACAGACTGGAGTGGAAAATGCCTAAACTGCACCATGATATGTATGCCTATAGAAGAGGGGTTGGCACAGTGGAATGTATTACAACTCTGTTAGCCCACTTGAATGACAGACCAGGAATGCTGATATTCCTGGACCTCGAAAAAGCCTTTGAACTGGCTAGCGCCCCAGCTATTCTCTGCTGCCTCATTGACAAAGAGGTCAGAGGCAACCTGCTCTCCTGGACCAAAAACTGTCTCATAAACAGAGAAGCAAGAGTAAAACTTCATGGCACAGTCTCTGAGTACAAAAGACATGAAAATGGTACACCGCAAGGAGGTATTCTCAGCCCTCTTCTCTTCAACTGTTTAATGGAAAGAATAATGAGGTTGAAACTCCCACATCACTGCAGGCTGCTAAACTACGCGGACGACTTTGTCATCATCATAAAAGGAAGGGATGCGGCGCGCCTTGCACCCAAATGCTTAGACTGCATCAGTAAAGAGGCAAAACAGATTGGGATCAAACTCAACCCCTCAAAGTCAAAGGCCATGCCCATAAAAATAGCGAAGCCCAACATCCAACTCACAGTACAGGGTCAACCAATAGAATGGGTCGACACCTATCAGTATCTAGGAATCATCCTGGACACACACATGAATTTTAATGCTGAGGTCACTTACTTGAGAGAGCGAACTGCGGCCCGGACGGCAATCCTCAGGTCGCTAACCTCCCTTTCTGGAGGAGCCAATCTGCAAGTCCTTCGCACATACTATGTACAGGCAGTCAGATCAGTGATCGATTATGCCGCACCTGCACTCACAAATCTATCACACCAACAGTGGAAAAAGCTTGAAGTTGCCCAAAACAATGCTATGAGAGCTGCACTGGGAGCCCCCATGTGGACCAGGCTTGAAACTCTTAGACTGGAGACGGGTTTGCCCTCTCTACAAGAAAGAATATCACAAAGGACAGCTACAATTATCAGTAAGATAATTATTTCTTCTGATCCAATCCCAGTACGGCAGGCCTTGGTGGTTGGACTAGGCCAAAACAATGGAAACTCTTGGGTTGCAAGAGCAGGAAAAGTCCTAAACAGACTACATTTAAAAAACATGATTCTTGATAGAGAGGGTGATCATCCACACCCAAATTACACTCCTTCCGCGCCGTGGGAAGAGCCTACTTTCAAAATAGTAATAGAAAGTCTCCCAATGAAAAAGGCTGCCTATGATCCGACAATCCTAAGGCGCATAATAGAAGAGCAAATGTATAGCATAGCAGTAGCAGGAGCCACCCACATCTTCACAGACGGATCGGTGGACACAGAATATGAGAGTGCTGGCGCTGCTCTTTGCACGACCAGCGTACAGGCATATTGGAGACTGGGAGGACTAGTATCATCAACCCAAACTGAGCTGTTTGCCATACAACAGGCATTCGCATATGTGATTGCACAAAACACTCAAAATGCAATCATACACACAGACTCAAAAGCTGCACTTCAAATACTAGGACAAAAACAGTGGAAAGATAATGTGGAAATAATTACCACCATTTTGTATCTTGGAGCAGTCGCTAAAGGCAAAGGACTCAACATAACTTTAAACTGGATCCCATCCCATATTGGAATCCCATTAAATGAAAAAGCTGATGAAATTGCTAAATTGGCAACTCGTCATCCAGTGATACATAAAACAATTCAACCCAGCCTAGAGAACATAAAAAACATCATCACCAAAAAACTCTCACATCTCAACAAAGCCGACCTACACCAGAGAATAGCTGAAGGTTCGCCATCTGCAACATGGTATCTTCAGGCAACCAAATTAGAAAGGTTAAATATCCCAAAAGGAATCCACAGGGAAATAGCAGTTAGGTTATATAGACTACGTCTAGGTTACAGATGCAACTGGGAGATTGGTGAACCCCGACAGAGAGAGTGCATCTTCTGCCAAACTGTCACAGAAAAGCCATTACTTCACTATCTACTGGAATGTGAAGCAACCAATGACCTTAGAAGAGCTTTAAGAGTTCCTGAATCATGCAGTGGCCACCCTGAAGCCATCAACACAGCCACTCTCCTGGTCAACAAAGGTGTCCAGCAGCTGGACACCCTCATAAAGACTGTGAAGCAGTATCCTCCCCCGCGATAACAGCTTGATGGTTAAATGCAACCTCAGAATACTGAGAAAAAAAAAAATTGTACCACTTACGGGCTATTCATGCCCGTGCCACCTCTTGGGTGGCTTAATCTTTATCAATCATCAATAAAGTTGTGTGACACCCAGAGCTCCAGGCTCCTCCTCACTGGCAGGTGTGGGGAAAGAAGGGAGGGTTGCTATCAATCTCATACTAGTTTCGTTTGTTTACACTGTTTGGGATGTTCGTTTGGCAGGTTTCCTTTGAACCCAGCAGTGATTTGGCAGTGATTTGTATTGGTTCGCTAACTTTCTGGATACTTTCCCAGTGAGGTGATGGAGTGTTACCTGCTCTCCGTGCCTCTGTGAAGGAGGCCAGGTTCTAGCTTTGGTCTCCACTAGGCCAAAAGAGCTCCACAGCTGATGTAACCTAGTACTTGGGAGCTATCTCTGTGAGATAGCTTCAGTAAGCCACAAGGGGTTTCCCCAGAAAACACAATCGTAAAGCATAAAGCAATGGCCCATCATAAACTATCGTTCTAAGGATAGCCAACACCACTTAGTTGAAGGTATGGAATAATACGGTCTAGTTAGAGCAGTGTTGCAAGGACAGACACCAGGCAAGTAAGAGAAGTGGAGAAGTGGGCGAGTGGATGGGACTCTGACCTATGCCACCATCTACAAGCAGTCGCTTAATTTGTTAATACTGGTGGGTTATTTCTAGGTTTTAGATCTATCTTTGATCCCAAAGCTCCCTTAGCCTAGTATAGATGACCAAGTTTTGTTTTTATCCCAGAATAGTAGGGCGAGGCCTGGTATGATTGCCTAAGGCATGACAGTACAAGTGCTCAAGCCCAGGGAGCTATTATGAGAGCCTTCCCAGAAATAATTTTGGAACATGTAAGATTATGACTTACTTTAATGGTATCTAAACCACGTGATGTTAAATCGGTACAGGAGAGGGCCAGCACCTGGCCAGATTGGAAGGATTCGAAGCGACCTTCTCTAAATTTAGCTGCCATATTACCATTAAGATTGACGCACGACACACCATTCTCATTTAGGAATAAGGAAACCCAATCACATGTCTTGCTATAGTTGCTGTTGTAATCAAGAAAAAATTTTTTTTTATTAATTTCATCTAACACTGAAGAGGAAAACTTAACCTGTTTAATATCTAAGGAAGAAAGTAGGATTATTGCAAGATAATGTTACAATTTTGTGGACAGACGTATCAATATGAAGGTAAAATCTGTGGATTGAAGGAGAGAAAAGGATGAAGTTAATGTTCGAAGAGTACAAGTGATTAGCTAGAAATCCTTCTAGCTAATCACTGATATTAGTATGATAATATGGAATAACATTTTAACAGACTGAGATTGTTTTTTGTTACACAAAATTAGCTGGAGGTCAGGAATGGACTTGTCCCATGCCTCCTATGCCAGTAACACATTATTTGCCTTTCACTCAATCTTCTAATCAAGATTTTTGTTTAGCTTTTGCCCATAAAATTCATGAATGGAATATACAGTATTTTGAAAGCAGATGTATTATATAAAATTTTTAATATTCTTTTTTACTTTAAACTTTATAATTTCAGTTGTGCATGAATATGATGATAATTTTGATCAATAATAGTAGTCTCACCTGAATATAATAACTGGGGTTCCTTTTTTGGCATCTTGCTTTACCAACTGCAGCAGTTTCTCTGCCTTAGTTATGTGATTAATGCGAAAGAAACGCTGAGGTACATGTGGCATGAGGCGGTTGAGGTGTGGAGTTGTGATTTTCTTAACAGACTCAATCTGAAAAGAAGCATATTCAATGGAAAGTCTAAATAAATTTATTTTCAAAGGCACTGATGTTATTTTATTTTGTTCATAATCAGGTTTAGGAATTAACAGATGAGGTTTCAAAATCCAAATACTGTAACTAAAATCTAAAAATATCCAGAATCCAAATACTGTATGACTGAAAAATACTTAAATAAATTTGTTTCCCTAATTCAAAAGTAAACCCAAAATATGAAACAGTTGGTTAGTTCCTGCATTGACAGTTATGCAGGGCAGTGTGATATGAGGGCACCACTTCCTGTTAGCACACTTACCACCGTTTTTCTTTAAGCTGGTACCATGAAGTGAAAGATTACAAACTGATTTTTCAGGCATTCCTTTGTACAGGAGTTCTAGCAGATAAGTGGGGAAAAAAGGCTAACACTGTTCTTATCTACAAAAAGTGGCAGCAGAAAAGACCCCCCTTAATTATAGACCAGTATCACTAACAAGTGTAATAGTCAAAATATTGGAATCCGCTTGGGCCGTGGCTCTTAGGTTTTCGTCTCCATTTTGTCCGTTGCTGTTTGCAGAGACTGCAGTCTCTCAATTTCTGCACGCGGCTTCGTCTAGTTGTCATCCTATGGCGGACTTGTTGATTCTCCGAAGCGGTCGTTCTCGGCAGTTTTGGAGGGGTCGTGCCAGGGTTCCAGGTTCCGCTGGTCGAGGTGGGCCATTGGTGCCAGTTTCTGAGCCATTGTTCTGGGTTGTGGTGACCCGTCTGCATCTTCTAGGGATTCGGGTTTTGACCTGGGTCTTGTTTGGGATTCTCGGACCGCTTCCTTGTCTCTCCCTTCAGAGTCTTTGTGGCAGCTGCAGGACTGCCGTTGGCTGTTTCTAAGGGAATCCTGGATCACTCGGCGGTTGCTCGAGCAGTTGTGTGGGAGTCTGAACTTCGCCGTGCTAGTCTACCCGCCTGATCGGGTTTGGCTTCTGCGTCTGTTTTGGTTCCTTCGGGGACATCCCTTCCGCTTCTCTCGCGATCGTTGGGTTTGTCCTCTGGGGGCCTTGTGTCGGTTGCTGCGTCACCGGCTTCCTCTTCGGGGTTTTTGGGGTTCGGTGCCTTGGTGCCTTCCCGAGCCCTCGCTCGATGTGTTCACGGACACGTCGTCTCTCGGCTGGGGCTTTGTGACCAGTGCTCACCAGGCAAGTCAGGGACGGTGGGGTTCGTCCTTCCGTCAGGCTCACAGCACGGTTCGGGAGTTTGCGGCAGTCTGGTTCACGCTTCGGAGGGTTTGGGTCACTCGGGGATCGACCATTCACCTCCATTCAGACTGTTTTCCAGTGGTTCATTGCCTGAACCGCGGGGGTTCTCTTCGGTCCTTGGCTCTTTGTGGTTGGTCCCTTCGAGTGGTTCATCTGCTGGATTCTTGGGGTTTGGCTCTCCATGCGGTTCATGTCCGGGGAGTGTCCAACGTTCTGGCGGATGGTCTGTCTCGCTTCCATTCCCTGTCCACGGAGTGGACGGTCGACGACGACTCGTTTCGTTGGATCTGCCAGACGTACGGCCTCCCAGATGTGGGACCATCTAAAGAAGGACGAGGGCGGGGCGGATTGAACCAAAGTCAAAGCGACCCTTACCCCCAAGTTCGGGTCCCTATAAGCAAAAACGGGGCAGCCGCAGGGCATCCGAGTGAGCAACCAACGAAGCGCGTTGCAACAACCTAAAATGCGCATGCAACGCCTGTACCCTCATAAGATCACCACCAGACTGGGTAAATTGAGTCACTAGCAAGCAGCAGAACTCACAGGACTCAGGGTCGAAAGTGTCACCGACCTAACAGGCAGCGTGTTGGAGGCAAAGACAGTGAGGGCCACCTGAGACATGGGGACCAAACAACCCTCAAACTCGCACGAAGCGAAGTCACATCCGTCAGACCCACGCACCCCCAGAGGTTTCCCAGTGCTCTGAGCGTTTAACGAGACTCACGCCCAGGTAACCCCCAGGCAGGGTACTGCTAACCGGTGCCCAAAACTACCAAGCAAACTCTCTAAAGCTGCACCCCAGGGATGTGTACACTCACAGGGACCTAGCAGGGGGCACCACCAGAGAAGAACTGTAATAGGTCTAGCACAAGTGGGCAAAAAACAGCAGATCCATCCCCCCACAAGGCAAACGAAAAAGAAAAAGAAAACCCCGCAAGAGGACAGCGTACCCTAGAGGAACAAAGCCGGCCGCTATAATCGGTGAAAACAAGTTACGCAGCACCCTGCACCCGAACCAGTGCAAACTGCCTCTTCCCCCTAAGGTAAACAAGGGAGACAAAACACCCAAGTACCCAAAGGGCAACCGAAAGACCGAGCAGTAAAATGGCCAGCAGAGACAGGACCCAAGGAACTTGTGGAAGGTAACCCCAAGGGCAGTACTTATAGGGCACCTAGGAAAGGGAATCCTAGGCACATGCAGCCCGCGTTCTGGAGAATAACTCCTGCTCTCGCACCCATAGAAGACAGCCATCACACTCAAAGCACAGTGCTGAAACTATGTCTGGAGCCAGAGCACATGACCGTAGCCTCTAGCATCAGCCTAAGAACTTAAGGGTGGATAGCCAGCGTGTGCGGTCTGGGGCCGCCCTTCCCCCTCCCGGGGTAGGAGGAGCTGCGTAGACAGCGGTGCGGTGACGTCATGATCCTTTGCTCTTTTTGTTTAGGGGAGTTCTATCCACTTGTTCGGCTTTTGGTAGCAATATTTTCACCAGAATAGGGGTTTGTTTTGGGATGCTTACCTTTCTGGGTGCCTGACCCAGTCGATGGCAGACAGAATGCTCATTTCTATAGGCCATTGCTCCCCTTGCCTCTTCTGAGGGGGCCAGGTTCTGGTTCGTGGTCCCCGGTAGGCCCATAGAACTCCTTACACACATGACTGATGTCAAAGTCTGACATTAGCATATCAGCCTAGTAAGCTCCGGGGAGCCGAAGGTGCTCCCCCCAGAAAAGAGTCAAACTCAAAGGAAGCCGGATCCATCACCGAGGCGTAAACCGGTTCCCCCCGGAGGTAAGCACTGAGAGCCTCCAGAACCTCTGCAGGGAAAATCCGAGAGGAAGAAAACCTCCGGAAAGACAAACCCGAGAAACACAAAGGCATCTGGAAACAAACCCAGGGTGGAACCCCACCCAACTCAAACTCAAAGGAAAGGAGGGGGTACAAAAACCCACCTTCCCTGCAGAAGAAGTCCCTGTGTAGAGGGCACAAGGGCTCAAGGGGGGGTCAAACGGAACCCAGGAGCTCCACTTGGAACCCCCCCCCCTGAACCGCAGAAACCACAGACAAAGACCTTGGGGCAAAGCCCTCATCCATGCCCACCACCCCAGAAAGAAAGGAAGAGTCTTGGGGAAAGGCTTCAAAGAGGGGAGTCTGCTGGGTTAACTCAGAAGTCTTGGCAAGAAATAGAGGCTTAACCATCTCCACATCCGTGTCATAAGGGGCATCCCCCGAAGTCACCAGAGTTTCACCCCAAACTAAACCCTGCCCCAACTCCAAAACCCTCAGACATTTGGGAGCCGGAAGCAGGGGAAAAAGAGCAGGACGAACCACGCCCACCTGGGAAGGAAGAGGGGGGTGTAGACAGAACCAAGGCCGAAGTGACCAATACCGCCAAATCTGAGTCCCTAAAACCCTGATATCCCTGACCACGCAAGGGCAGTTATCGCGGAGTGCCTGGGGAAGGTGTCCCTAAACAAAGGCAGTTCCCGTACCCAGGAACTCCAGGCTAGTACACATCACAAATGCAGGAACAGCCATATTAGGCAAAAATCCCAGAACATGAAATTGAAGCCTGGTGTGATGCCTGACTGCCAGCACCATCAGTCAAGAACTGAGGGGTTGGTAGCTGAGGCTCACTCGAGCCAGTTCCCTCTCCACCACTGCGAGGTGGAGGTGGGAAGTAACAAGCAAGGGGCTAGTTGAATGAAGTGTTGCATGTTTGCTATCTTTATGGGAGAGTTCTTTTGCCCGTATGAGATCGTAGGTCGCATTTTTCAACCAGACAACAGTCTGTTTTGTTTCACCTACAATTCTGAGTGCCTTCCCTGGTCGATGGCAAATATGATATACTGTATTTTAATTTAGTGTTCATAGGCCATAGCTCCTGCTTGATACCTGGTTGATGGGGTTCTGGGAGTTCTTCTACTCCATAAGCCCAATCCGAGGCCAGGATTAACTTGTGAGAGCTTGGTCCAACAGGCTGTTGCTTGGAGCGGCCCGCAGGCCCACATATCCACCACAGCCCAGTTGGTCTGGCACTTCTTGAAGAAAACTATTTAGTTTTCTCTTGAAGATGTCCTTGGTTGTCCCAGTAATTACTAATACAAAATCAAGTTTTAATGATATAGGGTTAACTAAAACTGTAACTATTACGAGCAATCATCTATCTGTAAATATCATTATTTGTGGAAATAACCTTTTAGCAAATCAATTAAACAAACCCTAACATACATATATATATTGACAACAAAAAAGAAGAATGCTCTCTCATTATATATATTTATATTTTCCAGTTAAAAACTTACATCAACTACAGGATCGAGGATAGTGTCCAGGCTGCGTGGCAGCGTAGCTGCCACTAAAGATAGTTGAATGCCCGACATCGTTAAAGGATGCTCATCAATTTCATATCTTGCTCCTTGAATCTAGGAAAAACCATAGACATTAACAAACACGTTCACTTAAAAATCTGTGTTGATTGTAATGAAACACCAATGTCTAGGTGAGCCCCAGTGCTATTGTCACTGATAGTGTACCATCTACTGGGTTGCATCAGCCACAGAGTTCTATCTGGCTTACTGGAGACCAAAAGCCAGATCCCACCCCCCTCACAGAGGCACGCAGAGCAGTGGCATTTGCAGGCGATGAGTCACAATAACGTGGCTAAAGTATGTTGATCAGACCACACACTAGAAGGTGAAGGGACGACAACGTTTCGGTCCGTCCTGGACCATTCTCAAGTCGATTGTGATGAAGTAGAGACAGGCAATAAATAGGCAAAAGAGAGCTGAGGAGCAAAGTAAGGTGTAGTAGAGGGAATAGTAGTAGGAATAAGAAATGCAGAGGGCCTATTGGCCCATACGAGGCAGCTCCTATTATAACCACCGAATGAGAAGGAGATAGTAATAGGAATAAGAAGAGGATAGCAAGGGAACACAGGAGAAGTCAATGAACAGAAAAGAGAGAGAAGAGAGAAAGAAAAGGAAAGAGAAAGAAAGATAAATGGAAGAGTAAGCTTATGTTAGGTCACGTTTGTTTGAAAGATTAGAGCATTTGAGTATATACTGTGAAAGGGAAGAGTTCACAGCAACAAAGCCAGGACTCAAGTTCATGTTGGGTACATTGTGTATAAGAGCCGATTCAACAAGACGGCGTCTGTGTAGAGGCAGGAAATATTATTTTGGATGAAGACCAATCATTATTTTGGAGGAATTATTCATTATTTTGATTATTTTGGAGAAAGTGCCTCATCACAATCGACTTGAGAATGGTCCAGGATGGACCGAAACGTCGTCGTCCCTTCACCTTCTAGTGTATGGTCTGGTCAACAGTGGCATTTATTTATTTATTTATGTCACCACCAGAAAATGCACCTATAAAGTTAATGAGACAAAACAAGCCACAGCTAGCTAAGCAGAGACAATAGCCTTATGAACAGCCAGAAGAATTCCTCAGCAATGTAAATTAACGATGGATAAGTTTCAAAACAAGCACATGCTTGTACACCCCACCTCGCCCACTCATTTGGGAGGGAAGATAGCTCGTGGTCAGCCAGTGACACAGCCTACAGTTCTATGGTAGAGGTGAGAAAAAACCCACTCGACGACCTGGAAGGAGGAAGAGTCTCAAAGAGCCACCAGGACTCGGAAATTGACGTCACATTACATTCAATGCTGGTTTTCCTATGGGGGTGCCTCTTGTGGCTCCCTGAAGCTATCTACCCACAGAGAAGGAAACCTAGGGCACTTACCAGGGAGGTGCCAGCACCATAGGATCAGGACAAGGAAGAAACACCAGGCCATGACACAGAGGCACTGGGGCACGGCAACATTGACAAGATACTAAGCTGCCAGAACCCTGTTCGACCTTCAAAAGGCCTGAATATCAGCAAGAAATGTTAGTGAACACAGCAGAGAGCGGCATACTTTTGAACATTATGGGCACGAGGGTAGGCTGCAGGATGGCTGGATTTAATAACACTATGGACAGCCTAAGAAATACAAGCCTTGGAACAGGGAACCAAGGTAACCAGATTGACCCCACAAAGCATCCATCGAGACAGAATCAGTGGCACAACGGTAGCAGTGGAGAGCCATCACCAGACACAACAGATGATGCACCCCCAGCATAAAGCTAAGCGACAGTATTCGGCATAAAATGCTAGTCAAGAAAGAGCCAGTTAAGAAAGGAGAGTACCATCTGCTCAGAAACCAAAAATTACACAAGTTAAGGAAGTGGAGAAAAGAGCTTCAAGAAACCTCATACTGCCTACTCGATGAAGCCCATAGGTGGGACACCATCAACTCAGCCATCTGATCACCGTAGATATGATAAAAAACCTGTGTCGGAAATACCAGACGCGTAGAGCAGAGAAGGTAGAACCAGCGAAGTACTTCACTGGGCCAATATTCTGAAAGAGGCAGAGCCTTGGGAAAATGACTAAGCTTGGACATCGAGCAAGCAGCACCGGAAGCCATGTCTAGGCTGATCATCAAGGACCCAGATCATTCTCTACCTGTAGACCTCCTCCTCGCCAAGACCCGGAGCAACAGACGCTGGACACTCCTAGAATATGAACAGCATGGAGTACCAAACTCTGAGAACTGAGAAGAAGAGATACAGGCAGCATTCAGCTCCAAAGAGGCAAGGGACCAAAGAGAAAACACCCTGTTGAAACAATGAACTATGGGGGAACAATTGAACACTGAACAGAACTGGACCATGGAGACCGTAAGAATCCAAATCCTTAGTAGTGCATGCCACATGGCCACAAACTCCCACACCATACTGTGTGCCCAACAACCCATCCTCCGAACTGACAGTACAGTTTAATACCAAGTGTCATAAGTACATTTCCTTACTGTCATACATAGTACATAATTGCACTTAGGGGGGCTGTTACATTTATTCTTCTTGTTTTCTGTTAAGACACTCAGAATTTTAGGAGGACGTTTTCGAGTTCAATTAGCTATAAACAAATTTTAAATATCAGGAATTTCTTTTTCAGTTTTATTAAACAATAGAGATTTTATACAAAATTTGAAAATATCCTGAGTTACTTTACAATTTATTGTAATATTTTAGTTTTGTTTTATTAGTTTTATAAAACTGTAATATCAATATAGCTATACTGTAGGTTAAGTACTAATTGTAATTAAGAAGCAATAAAATGCTTATCTTCAAACACTAAGAAGGTTAGGTTAGGTTGTGGTTTTCTGTTCAGCTTTTCAGTTAAACTCAAATATTCACAATATATTTGACAGTACTGTTTAATACTAAATGAAAATAAAGTATAATTCCTGACTGTTATGAATAGTACATAATTGCACTTGTGCTGTTACATTTACCTCCCAATTTTTGGAGGACGGGTTGGTGCCCAACAAAAGGAGGAGACCACTGCCCCTGACCTGCCTGGGGATTGCTGGTTACAAAACCCCTGTCGAGAGGTGAGGTGTGTGGAAAGACGTTGAGCGAGGGCGAGGAAAAGTGACAGGGAACCAAACCCTGAAAAGCCTGAAGAGAAGCTGGCAATGCAGCAGCTGATGCAAGGCCAATGGAGTCCGCACCCAGTGGTCGTGGCAGCAGAGAAAGAGTGCCCTGGCAGAGCCCACATCCAAGCCCACCAACCTTGAAGAAGGCAGAATCCAAGGGAAAAGCTTCAAAGAGAAGAGTCTGCTGGGCTGATTCCAAAGCTTTGGGAAGGAAATTGGGCTCAACCTCCGTTCCCGAGTCGGAAGGAGCAACCCCTGAAGCCACCCGAGCCTCATTACCAACGAAATCCCTCCCCAGTCCAGAAATCCTCAGATGTTTAGGAGCCGGAAGCAGGGGGAAAAGGAGCAGGGTGAGCAGCATCCACCTGGAAAGGAAGCAAGAGCGCGGACGGAACCAAGAATGAAGTAACCAACACCTCTAAATCCTGGTCCCTAAAATCCAAATGGGGGCAGCTTCGGGCTTCCAACCGGGCAACCAACCTGGTCCGTTGCAGCACAGAATATCTAGCATGTAACCAAGCTGCTGCCTGACCACTAACATCCTCAGATCATCCTCATCCTCCCATCCACGAGGAATGGGAAACAAGCATGAAACATGTCCTGCAAGACTCAGGGTCGTAGGTGTGTCCGACCCAACAAACAGCATGACAGAGACAGAATGGATGATCGTCACTACAAGGCAAAGCCAATGAACACCCCTCGTCATCGCACAAGGCAAGACAGGGCTCGGAAGACACGTCCATGGTACCCTTGAGCCCTATAGGGATGTCCAGGGGCCCATAGGGTATGATAGCCCTACGAGAAACCCAGGCACTGGGGCAGCTAAGTCAGAAACCCCTGTCTGCTGCAGGCAAACTGGCAACCAGCGTCGTCGTGAAACCTTGGGGCAACAGAGGAGTACTACCAAACAACCTAAGCTAACCTAATGGAAAACTAGGCAGACCTCCTATACCAAGGAAGTGAGATTGCACTAAAAGCAAATAAACAAAAAGAACCCCGAAGCAACAGACAGACAGACTAACCTGTTCCCAGAGAGAATCCTTGGCTGCAGCTGAATGCAAGCTGCGCCGGCCGCAGTGCGCCCCACCCAGTACAAACCCACTCCCTACCCGAGGCAAGATGGGAAGCCCAAGACCCCTGGCGAACCCCAAGCAATGACGGATATTACTTGGTGGCGAGTTATCCGTCTCTGGCGAGTCAGATGAAACCGACTCGCAAGGGAAGTATTTACAGGATACCTAGGGAAGAGAACTCTAGGTGCATGGAGCCCAGTATACTTGTAGGAACACCTGGCCATCTTCTTGAGGTTATCTTGAGATGATTTTGGGGCTTTAGTGTCCCCGCGGCCCGGTCCTCGACCAGGCCTCCACCTCCAGGAAGCAGCCCGTGACAGCTGACTAACTCCCAGGTACCTATTTACTGCTAGGTAACAGGGGCATTCAGGGTGAAAGAAACTTTGCCCATTTGTTTCTGCCTCGTGCGGGAATCGAACCCGCGCCACAGAATTATGAGTCCTGCGCGCTATCCACCAGGCTACGAGGCCCCTACCACACAACACAGCTGGCAAAGTCACAAATGCAAAGTCAGACAAAAGTTTGAGGCCAGAGAGGACTTGTGACACCTGGCACTTCAGTTGAAGAACTAAGGGTGGTGCGGCCTGCTCGCCTGATTGGGGTCCTCCGCTCAGGCACTAAAGGGGGACCTAAAGCACTAACAAGTGGGTGTGCTAGTTGGATGATGTGTTGCTTGTTTCATTGTTTTCAATTGGGGAAGGGGAGGTTCTTTGGCTCTGTTTGGATGTAGACTGCAATTTTAACTAAAGGTTTGTAATGTTTCGCCTTCCTTTCTGGAGGTAACCCCGGTCGATGGCAAACATGACAAGCTCTAAATATAGAGAGCTCATATGGCCATTGCTCCCTTCGTCTCTCTGAGGGGCCCAGGTTCTGGCTCGTGGCTCCTGGTAGGCACTCAAACTCCAAGGACTGATGTCATCAAACTAATATGGCACATGTCAGTTTGATAGCTTCAGGGAGCCAGCGGGACTTCCCTCAGAAAGAACTCTGCAACTGATGACACTTGGTAGTATGGCACTTCAACAGTGCTGATAACTTCAGGGAGCTGATAGGGGCTCCCGTAGAAAACAGAATTGGAAAAATATGTTATTTTTGCTTCATAGAAAATCCGTAGGAGCCGTGATGAGGGTTCGAACCTATGTGGTGGGTGTTCCCAAGCATAGGTTCTATATTTATTCCTTCCTTCCTTCCTTCCTATATAAATAGGAAGAATTTTCTCATTGAAAAAGTCATGTTAGTCATGTTCAGTGATTACTCTGTGTACTGAAAGAGAAGCATCAGAGGTAGAACATTTCTAGATAACAGCCTGAGTGAATGAGGAGATTTTGTGAAAATCCTGGTCCAGCTTCAGTGGAAGCCTCAGGTAACCCTCGTGTGTTCAGCAGATCTCCAGGTTACAATCCTTATGACTATGTTGTTATCTAGTTGTTCAAAGCATGTGTGTGGGAACACCCACCACATAGGCTCGAACCCTCATCACAGCTCCTATGGATTTTCTCATTGTTATTACAGTACTGTATTGTTATTATTGTTATTGTATTATATAGTTTCAAAGGGAGGTGAAAACTTTAGCGCTGAAGTTGATAAAAGTCAGTGGCAAGTGTTTTTACTGACCGGGAATTTGGTGATATACCGTGTCACTTGATCATTAAAGGAATCATCAAGAAGTGTATCTGCTTCGTCAAGAGCGAGGTGTCTTACAAGGGATATATCACAGACGCCTGAAAGAAAAAAGATTCACACTTAATTAAACTCCTTAATATTACAAAAATTGTCTACATGTAATGAAATGGCATTTTCTGAGTTCTGACTACATTTTTCCACTCTGCTTACACACTGGATAGCACCAGACAGGCAAGTGAAGCTAGGCCTCTGTGAAACACTGTACCCACCCAGGTCAAGGGCCCTTTTAAATCTTCCCTTTACCCTCCCTAGAGTGAAGAACACATGGGGCAAAAAAAAAAAAAAAAAATTCTAAAGAGTGCTAAGGCAAACTGCATGTAAAACATAAAGAAAGAGGATCAAAAAGTACCTCCCTCCTAACAAGAAATGTTTTGATGACTGCTGATTAAGAAAAACAAAAATATGATAAACTAATAAGTTAACGAGGAAACGTTACCCTACACCAATAAGTGACTATCTAGCACCGGTCAGAGCAAGATACCTACCCCATGCTCAACCAACAGCCACAGTCATGAATAAACTGTGGAGGATAGAGACCTACTGAGGCAGAGTGTAGAAAATAGCATTTCATTACACTCGATGCTCAATTTTTGACCCCCATTTCCATGTGTATTTCCCATTGCTTTCACAATGGCACCACATATGAGGAACCCTTATTTTATGACAAATAAGTCAACTGGTCCTTTCAAATAATAAACAGCATTTTGATGTCAAAATCTCCAGCGGACAAGAAAACGGGGTACTATAAATCATCTTGGCTCGCAAACATTCACATTTTCTGTCTATTGGTTTAGGTTACATTAAGTTAAGTTTAAGCATTTTAGTACACCATTTTCTGTCATTTGTGGCAACTTGAGGAGATAGGCTGAATAAATAGTGTAATAAGAAAAGCAAATAAAACATGCATCAAGCAATTCGTAACAAGAGAATAAAGTACAGTATGAGGAGACCTTGGCAAAGGCCTGCTAGTCACCAGGTGCCCGTGACCAAAATCCATACAGTGTCTCCTGGATGGAACCAGACCCGGGAGGCAACAGCCTGCAAACACCTGAAAACAAAAGCAAAAACCGTGAAGTGATAGTCAGGACCTCACGTGCCCAAGGGCAGTAGTCAGTGGACTGGCAACACCTGGCTATTTGGCAGACTAAAAGATAGATCAGCTGGGAAGTAGCACAACCTAAAGCATGGAGGAAGGACAAGATAAACAGAACTCTTCAAAGTTTACAAAACCCAACATTGATTGTAATGAATTGTCAATTTCAAGAGCCCAGGTGGCTCCCTGGAGCTATCTTCCTGAGATTGCTTCATATTAGAAGGTCACATCAGCTGTGGCTAGTTCTGTTTGGCTTACCAGGGACCAGAGCCAAAACCTGCCTCCCATCACTAAGGCACAAAGAGCAGGTGACAATACACCACCTCGCCAGAGGACCCCCCCCCCCCTCCAGAAAGTGAGTGCAACTTAGCAGACAACTGGAGGGTTCACAGACACTGAGACGAGACAAAAAACAAACGACTTCCTCAAAAAAGTCACACAGAACAAAGGATTCATTGAAATGAGCTTGAAACTCATTAGTATTGACTACCATTGCCAGGAGGCCTAGCTCCAGCTCCCAGCCGGCTCGTTACGTCAGTTCTGGACCTCGTGAGCAAACCTACGATGAATTAACAAGCATGGATGGCAGGGATAGGCAGGGAGCCACCAGGGCTCCTCCAGAAACCCAGAAATTCTGGGTTTTGGAAGGAAGTCCCCTTGTGGCTCCTTGAAACTAATCTAACAACCGAAAACAAGAAATATACTTTTCAGAAAGGAGAGGTGGCAGGCACTTAGGAAGAAAGAGAGAAACTAAGCCAGGCTAGACAGTCCTGGTTGATACCTGGTTGATGGAGTTCTGGGAGTTCTTCTACTCCCCAAGCCCGGCCCGAGGCCAGGCTTAACTTGTGAGAGTTTGGTCCACCAGGCTGTTGCTTGGAGCGGCCCGCAGGCCCACATACCCACCACAGCCCGGTTGGTCCGGCACTCCTTGGAGGAATAAATCCAGTTTCCTCTTGAAAATGACCACGGTTGTTCCGGCAATATTTCTTATGCTTGCTGGGAGGACGTTGAACAACAGCGGACCTCTGATGTTTATACAGTATTCTCCGATTGTGCCTATGGCACCTCTGCTCTTCACTGGTTCTATTCTATATTTTCTTCCATATCGTTCACTCCAGTACGTTGTTATTTTACTGTGTAGATTTGGTACTTGGCTCTCCAGTATCTTCCAGGTGTATATTATTTGATATCTCTCTCGTCTTCTTTCTAGTGAGTACATTTGGAGGGCTTTGAGACGATCCCAATAATTTAGGTGCTTTAAGGCGTCTATGCGTGCCGTATATGTTCTCTGTATTCCCTCTATTTCAGCAATCTCTCCTGCTCTGAAGGGGGAAGTGAGTACTGAGCAGTACTCAAGACGGGACAACACAAGTGACTTGAAGAGTACAACCATTGTGATGGGATCCCTGGATTTGAAAGTTCTCGTAATCCATCCTATCATTTTTCTGGCTGTCGCAATATTTGCTTGGTTATGCTCCTTAAACGTTAGGTCGTCAGACATTATTATTCCCAAATCCTTTACATGCTGTTTTCCTACTATGGGTACATTTGATTGTGTTTTGTACTCTGTATTATGTTTAAGGTCCTCATTTTTACCGTACCTGAGTACCTGGAATTTATCACTGTTAAACATCATGTTATTTTCTGATGCCCAGTCGAAAACTTTATTAATATCAGCTTGAAGTTTTCAATGTCCTCAGCCGAGGTAATTTTCATACTGATTTTTGTGTCATCTGCAAAGGATGATACGAAGCTGTGACTTGTATTTTTGTCTATATCTGATATGAGAATAAGGAAATGCAGCGGTGGAAGGACTGTACCCTGAGGTACAGAGCTTTTCACTGCACTTGGACTAGATTTTATATGGTTGACCGTTACTCGCCGAGTCCTGTTTGACAGAAAACCGAGTATCCAGCGTCCTACTTTACTGGTTATTCCCATTGACTTCATTTTGTGTGCTATCACGCCATGGTCATATTTATCGAAAGCCTTTGCGAAGTCCATGTATATCACATCAGCATTCTGTTTTTCTTCTAATGCCTCAGTGACTTTGTCGTAGTGCTCAAGTAGCTGTGAGAGGCACGATCTTCCCGCTCGAAATCCATGTTGGCCTGGGTTGTGAAGGTCATTGGTCTCCATGAAATTGGTGACCTGACTCCTAATCACTCTCTCAAATACTTTTATGATGTGCGATGTTAGTGCAACTGGTCTATAATTTGTTGCCAATGCTTTGCTCCCTCCCTTGTGTAGAGGGGCTATGTCTGCTACTTTAAGTGCATCTGGTATCTCCCCCGTGTCCAAGCTCTTCCTCCACACTATACTGAGTGCCTGTGCTACCGGCTCTTTGCATTTCTTTATAAATATTGAATTCCATGAGTCTGGACCTGGGGCCGAGTGCATGGGCATGTTTTAAATTTCTTTTTCAAAATTTAGTGCGCTCGTGTTTATATCAGTTATATTTACAGGGGTTTGAATATCCCACATAAAGAAATTGTCTGGATCTTCCACCTTCATGTTGTTTATTGGAGTGCTAAACATGTCCTCATACTGCTTTTTTAGGATTTCACTAATTTCTTTGTCATCCTCCGTGTATGAACCTTCACTTGTACGAATAGGTCCAATACTGGCAGTGGTTTTTGCTTTTGATTTCGCATGAGAAGAAATATTTTGGATTTTTCTTTATTTCCTGAATTGCTTTCTGTTCTAACTGCCTTTCTTCAGTTTCATATGAGTGTTTCAATTTCCGCTCGATTTCTTCAATCTCCCTATTTAAATTATTCCTTCTTTGACGGGAAATTCGTGTCTGCATAAGCAGTTCCGTTATTTTTTTCCTGCGTTTATAGTGTCGTCTGCGTTCTCTTTCTACGTTAGATCTCTTTCTGGCTTTCCTCAAAGGAACATGTTTCAGACAGACTTGATACGCTTCTGAAGTCAGTCCAAAGCCACACATGACTGACTGGGCCCAGGAACATTAACCAAGTACCAAGCTGCCAGCAGCCAGTTAGAACAACAAAACCCCTGGGCCAAAATATCAGCCCATGATGTATTAGAGAAGACAGCGGCCAAAGCCATGTACTTATGAACATCATGGGCCTGAGGGTAGACCACGGGCTGGCTTGACTTTATGACACCACGGACACCCTGGAAAATGCAAGCCTTGGAACAGGAAAACATTGGAATGGGATCAACTAATAAAGCACTTACTGAAATAGAACCAGTGACATGCATGTAGCGATAAAGAGCCACCACAATATATAACAATGCAGTCAAACTACCAAAGCACTGATCACCAAAGGACCCTTCTGGAATCCCACCAAGTCATTCTTCAGCAGAAAAAAAAAGAGTTGGCTGCAAATGAACAAACCGCCCATGAGGGCCAACCATTACAAGGTGACAGTACAGTACTAGGTATCAACCAGCAGTCCACAAAGAATCAGGGCAGAAAAAGCACAAAATGAAAACCAAACCAGATGACAGACATCAAACAGAGTGGAAGAGTTAAGAGGCCTGCAAAACCAACTCATACTGCCACCTCAAGGGGACACAAGATGCAACACCAAGAGGCCCACTTCCTGACCCCTATATAGGTGATGGCACACAAGGCCTAGAACCTCCTCAGTGGCTAGATGCCCACTAATCTTCTAGGAGAAGTAGAGCCTTGGGGAGCAAAGGGGCAGGACCCCGAAGCAGATTGGCCAGAAACCTGGGCTGAACCGATCACACTGAAACTTAGAGAAGGTGACCCAGAATACGTCACCTACCTTGACAACACGAGAAGAAGCAACCAACCCGTGGGAAAGAGGTGAACATGAGACTACAGATCCCAATCCAGGCAAAATGTATCTATTGCAAACACCAAGAATCCAGAAACAGTGCCACAGACTGGAAGCCACTGTTCTAAATGGGGACAAACATTTGCACATGAGGACAGCCGAATGTCTTGCAATGCCAAAGGAAAGAAGCCTTATCCACCACACACTGCTGAGATCACATGAAAATGAGAAACCATTGACAACATGTTCAACACAACCCCAAATGTAAACCACACAGAAGAATACATTCTGAGAAGCTAGAAGTGAGACTTCTAGCTAGAATCCAGTCTTGCTGGGTTAGGCAGTGAACCAAGCTATCCCTGATGAGGCACTGAACCAAGCTATCCCTGATGAGGCACTGAACCAAGCTATCCCTGATGAGGCACTGAACCAAGCTATCCCTGATGAGGCACTGAACCAAGCTATCCCTGATGAGGCACTGAACCAAGCTATCCCTGATGAGGCACTGAACCACTGGGTGTAATCCAAATGAAGATGAGTTCAGAGCCCAGTAGGAGACACATATGCCAAAGGGCAATCAACATACTTTCCCCATCAGGATGGAGAAAGTATGTTGTGGTCTGGATTGCACTTTGACCTGATGAAAATACAACCACTCAGTGGAATGGTGGTCCAAAAGATCTGTGAACAGCCTGAGCAATGGGTGTCACAGAACTAAACTAAAAAACAAACCAAAGATGAAAATTATTTTGCAAAACCCACCTTAAATGAACTAAAGCCTGTACGACAAAGGTCCCAACCAAGGTGAAAGGACATCAATGAGGAAAGCTGTGTAGTGCACTCAGCCCAGCAGTAACACCATGCAGGCAAAGTTCAGGCTGCCCAAATGGCTAGAGGCCCTGATGGAAAAGTTGACTTCTCCCTTTCACTAGCTGAAGACTTAACACTTTCGCGCTTTCGATTAGAGATAACTCGTCACTGGTTTTTCTTACGATTCCGCATAACTGCCTACTTTTCTCGTCAATTGAAAAAATATTTCTATAAATTCCATTTTTTAACCGAAATGGATGGGGATACTTTTGTTTTGTAGAGAATTTATTTGCGATTTTTTTGGTACCAGAATGAATATTATATCACATAAACTTCTATGAGTAAAAAAAAAAATACACAAAGTATGTTTGGGGGTGTGGCGAGCGTGTGGCAGTGGGTTCCCTTTAGCCGTTGATATATCCAACACGTGGGAAATATTTGTATGTGTTATGTATATGTCTGTGTAGGGAATTTTACTGCGATCACTGTCATACAAATTATAAAATGTTTCAACAAGTATAAACATGACAAACATCAAACGAACGAAAACAATGCGTTCGTTTCTGCCGCGAACGCATACTGAGCGACGTGGTTCTATATTTGGCGCTTCTCTTACACATGCTTTGTACAAATGTTATACAGTTCATCTTATAGAAAATTTTATTGCGAACACATTGGTATAAAAAAGAAATACGTACATAGAAAATTAGGGTCAGGAAACGTATAAATTTTCCAAGCATGATTTCCCCCCTGTGTTTTCGCCAGTGCGCTCGCGGCTAACTACTCTCCACTTCACACACTCTTGCGGGTGGGCAATTACCTATATTAAACATTCATATGCATATGTCCGTGTAGAGAATTTTATTGCGATTCCAAGGATACCAAAATTAGCGATGTAGGACAACTGTAGGCTTCGCAACCATTAAGAGAGTGGAAACATTATGTTGCTGTTTGGCGCTCTCGGCGAGTGATCTGCATAGTTTTTTATTTGGTGTTGATACTCCTTATGCTTGGGCGGCATTTTATAGGTATGCTCTTATAGACAATTTTATTGCGAACACAGTGACACCAAATTTAAATACGTGCGCCTTCAATTATTGTCAGGACAGTCAAAAGAGTGTACACTTTTTCGGTCTTACCGCGTAGGCGCGCGAAGTGCCGAAAGCATATGGGGTATTGTTTTTTTTTGAGCGCCGAGAGCGCGAAAGTGTTAAGCACAGCCACAACTAAGCCAATAAAGGGAGAGAAAAACAGACTATCCTGACATAACAGAATAGTCCAGGGCAAGGCAGAACATGAGAAGAGCCTAACAAACTTCGACCAGTTGACAAAAGCCCATACAGACCAAAAAGAACATCCCTGCATCATGGCAAACATCACTGTTATAAGAACTGTACTCTCAAAATTTCTAAATTACTCATGGAAATAAGTCACACCAACTTCATCTGCATAATGACAGCAGCATAAGGTCTTCACAATACAGCGTTTGTAAACTTACAACACATTAACTTACCTACAGTTGTGAGTTTAGATAAAGCACCGATGGTTGCTATGAGAAGGTGCTGCTGAGACATGACTGGATGAAGCATCTTATTCTTGGTTTTTCCACCTTTCATCATCTCCACATTAATTCCAAAACTCTCACCTAAGCCTGAGGCAACACTCTGGAAACACAAAATACAAAAAGTTAAAACATAATTCACTATCTTATTATTATTATAATAATAATAAATTATATATATATATATATATATATATATATATATATATATATATATATATATATATATATACATATACATATATATATATATATATATATATATATATATATATATATCACTCACTCACTCACTCACTCACTCACACACACACACACACACAAACACACACACACACACACACACACACACACACACACACACACACACACACGCGCACGCGCGCACACACACACACACACACACACACGGGATGTGTGTGTGTGTGGGAAACAGATTCACGGAAAATGAAAAGGAAATGTGTGAAACATTAAATGAAAAGTTCCAAAGTGTGTTTGTACAAAATGAAATCTTCAGAGAACCAGACACAATAAGAATTCCAGAGAACAACATAGAGCAGATAGAGGTGTCTAGAGATGAAGTGGAAAATATGCTAAAGGAGCTCGGGAGGAACAAAGCAGCTGGCCCAGATGGCGTTTCACCATGGGTTCTGAGAGAATGTGCATCTGAGCTCAGCATTCCACTTCACCTGATCTTTCAGGCATCCCTGTGTACAGGAATCGTAGCAGACGTGTGGAAACAGGCTAACATAGTTCCAATCTACAAAAGTGGCAGCAGGGAAGACCGCCTCAATTATAGACCTGTATCATTGACAAGTGTAATAGTGAAAGTATTGGAAAAGCTAATCAAAACTAAATGGGTAGAACACCTGGAGAGAAATGATATAATATCAGACAGACAGTATGGTTTTCGATCAGGAAGATCCTGTGTATCGAATTTACTCAGTTTCTATGATCGGGCCACAGAGATATTACAGGAAAGAGATGGCTGGGTTGACTGCATCTATCTGGACCTAAAAAAAGGCTTTCGACAGAGTTCCACATAAGAGGTTGTTCTGGAAACTGGAAAATATTGGAGGGGTGACAGGTAAGCTTCTATCATGGATGAAAAATTTTCTGACTGATAGAAAAATGAGGGCAGTAATCAGAGGCAATGTATCGGAATGGAGAAATGTCACAAGTGGAGTACCACAGGGTTCAGTTCTTGCACCAGTGATGTTTATTGTGTACATAAATGATCTACCAGTTGGTATACAGAATTATATGAACATGTTTGCTGATGATGCTAAGATAATAGGAAGGATAAGAAATTTAGATGATTGTCATGTCCTTCAAGAAGACCTGGACAAAATAAGTATATGGAGCACCACTTGGCAAATGGAATTTAATGTTAATAAATGTCATGTTATGGAATGTGGAATAGGAGAACATAGACCCCACACAACCTATATATTATGTGAGAAATCTTTAAAGAATTCTGATAAAGAAAGAGATCTAGGAGTGGTTCTAGATAGAAAACTATCACCTGAGGACCACATTAAGAATATTGTGCAAGGAGCCTATGCAATGCTTTCTAACTTCAGAATTGCATTTAAATACATGGATGGCGATATACTAAAGAAATTGTTCATGACTTTTGTTAGGCCAAAGCTAGAATATGCAGCTGTTGTGTGGTGCCCATATCTTAAGAAGCACATCAACAAACTGGAAAAGGTGCAAAGACATGCTACTAAGTGGCTCCCAGAACTGAAGGGCAAGAGCTACGAGGAGAGGTTAGAAGCATTAAATATGCCAAAACTAGAAGACAGAAGAAAAAGAGGTGATATGATCACTACGTACAAAATAGTAACAGGAATTGATAAAATCGACAGGGAAGACTTCCTGAGACCTGGAACTTCAAGAACAAGAGGCCATAGATTTAAACTAGCTAAACACAGATGCCGAAGAAATATAAGAAAATTCACCTTCGCAAATAGAGTGGTAGACGGTTGGAACAAGTTAAGTGAGAAGGTGGTGGAGGCCAAGACCGTCAGTAGTTTCAAAGCGTTATATGACAAAGAGTGCTGGGAAGACGGGACACCACGAGCGTAGCTCTCATCCTGTAACTACACTTAGGTAATTACACTTAGGTAATTACACACACACACAGAGGTTAGGTTAGAGATAATTGAGGATATGCAAAAGAAGTATGAAGAAAAAGTGCTTAAATTGGAAGAGGACAATGGAGCTCTTTGGAGTGAGCTTTGCACTCTAAAAGGGAGTATGCTTCAACAAGGTAAGATTATTACTGCATTAACAGACAAGGTAACAAATCTGGAGGAGCAAATCAAGGAACTAGTGAAAGAAAATGAGGCATGGAAAGTGAAGCGTGGTGACTTTGAAGAAATAAACAAGAAAATAGACTCATATGGTGAACAACTCCAAGCAAGCCTAAGGGCTAACATAGAGTTAGGTAAGGATCTCCAACTGGAAACTTCACTGACAACTCACATAGAGGAGGTGAATAAAGAACTAGAAAAGTATAAAGAAGAAATAAAAGCGACATATGCTGAAGTTGTAAAAGAGAAAAAGACTATCAAAGAAGTGTGTTCGGAAGTCAAAACCAGAAATGACCAACAAGAAGCAGAAATTAGGCAAGCAATTAGGAAAGAACTGGTTACCAACAGTAAACTGGTACAAAACACTGCAGATAGAACTAAGTCCATAATCATTTTTGGATGTTTAGAGAAGGAAATTTCATCTAGGGTGGACCGAGCGGCAGAAGAGATGAAAATCATAGAGAAAATAGTAGGTTTAGGAGAAGGCTCAAAGGAAAATGTCAGTGATTTTAGAAGAATAGGAAAATATGAGAAAGAAAAGAACCGCCCCTTAAGGGTGACGTTTAATGGAGTGAAAAACATGATGGAAGTGCTAAGAAATGCCAGGAAATTGCAGAGTGATGAGGTTGGCAAATTTTGGTCAATTAGACAAGACCTCTCCAAGGAAGACAGAGAAAAGCTGAAAATGAACCTAATTGAGGCAAAACGTCTAAATGGGGATAGAAATGAAGAAGACAGAAATTCTTTTTTTTACAAAGTGACAGGGACTGGAAAGCTTGTGAAATGGTACATAACAACAAAGCAACAAGATCAGTAGTGGAAGGGGGAGTAAAGAGCAAAGGAAAAGGGAACATGTTCCTGAAAATTGTATATACCAACATAGATGGAGTGAGATCAAAAACTTTGGAGTTGCAAGATATAATCCAGCTTAGGGTCCCAGATATTGTTGCATTATCAGAGACGAAACTTGAAGGAAATATAATAAATGAAGTCATATTCCCAAGAGGCTACTCAGTTTGGAGACGTGACAGGAAAACTAGGAAGGGAGGAGGAGTGGCTGTACTGGTGAAAAAACACCTGAAGGTAAAAGAGTTAATATTTGAAAACCCTCGAGATATTGACATAATGGCATTGCAGGTCTGGAATCAGGATGATAAGCTGATAATTGTAAATGCCTACAGCCCACCAGCAAGCAGCACATGGACAAAGGAAGAACTGGATGACAAACGAGAGGGCCTCATAATGGTCATGAGAGATATTATTGTACAAGCAGATAAAGATAAATCACGACTGTTGATACTGGGGGACTTCAACTTTAAAGCAATAGACTGGGAGGCCTATGAAGCAAGAACGGAGGACTTTTGGACCTGCAGATTTGTGAACCTCATTCTGGAGACATTCTTGTATCAACACATAAAGCAAGCCACAAGAATGAGGGAAGGAGATGTACCGTCAGTACTGGATCTAGTATTCACCAGGAAAGAAGAAGAGATATTTGACATCCAGTACCTTCCTCCCTTGGGAAAGAGTGATCATGTCCTGTTAGACATTAAATATGCTTTAAGATATCATCTAGAAGAAAATGGGGACATTGAAACAGTTGATAAACTCGATTTAAGGAGAGGACACTATGGGGAACTTCGAAATTTTTTTAATGAGTGTAATTGGACAGACTTGTTGCTAGGCAGGGAAGTAAATGAAATGTATGCCAAATTTTGTAAAATATACGATAAAGGCACACAAACATTCATACCAAAACAGAGATGCAGGGCCAGAAAACAGGATTGGTTCAACAGAAATTGTGAGAGGGCAAGAGACCAAAAGACACAAAAATGGAATCAATATAGGAAGAGGCCAAACCCCCAAACATACCAGCGATACAAAGATGCGAGAAACAACTATACAGCAGTAAGGAGAGAGGCAGAAAGAAATTTTGAAAAAGGGATAGCAGATAAATGTAAAACAGAACCAGGCCTATTCTACAAATTCATAAACAACAAATTGCAGGTAAAGGATAATATCCAGAGGTTGAAAATGGGAAACAGATTCACGGAAAATGAAAAGGAAATGTGTGAAACATTAAACGAAAAGTTCCAAAGTGTGTTTGTACAAAATGAAATCTTCAGAGAACCAGACACAATAAGAATTCCAGAGAACAACATAGAGCACATAGAGGTTTCTAGAGACGAAGTGGAAAATATGCTAAAGGAGCTCGGGAAGAACAAAGCAGCTGGCCCAGATGGCGTTTCACCATGGGTTCTGAGAGAATGTGCATCTGAGCTCAGCATTCCACTTCACCTGATCTTTCAGGCATCCCTGTGTACAGGAATCGTAGCAGACGTGTGGAAACAGGCTAACATAGTTCCAATCTACAAAAGTGGCAGCAGGGAAGACCCCCTCAATTATAGACCTGTATCATTGACAAGTGTAATAGTGAAAGTATTGGAAAAGCTAATCAAAACTAAATGGGTAGAACACCTGGAGAGAAATGATATAATATCAGACAGACAGTATGGTTTTCGATCTGGAAGATCCTGTGTATCGAATTTACTCAGTTTCTATGATCGAGCCACAGAGATATTACAGGAAAGAGATGGTTGGGTTGACTGCATCTATCTGGACCTAAAAAACCAGCATTGAATGTAATGAAACGCCATTTTCTGGGTGAGCCCCGGAGGCTCCCTGGAGCTTATCGGGCTAATGTGTGTTATGTTAGACCGGGACATTAGCTAAGGAGTTCAGACCTACCAGGGACCAGCGCCAGAACCTGGCCCCTTCAGAGAGG